TCCACAGTGGTTGCACCAATCTGCACTCCCACCAACAATGGAGAAGGGTTCCTTTCTCCCCACACCCCTGCCAGCATTTGTTATTAGATGATTTCTTAATAGCAGCCATTCTTTCTAAGGTGAGGTGGAATCTCAGTGTTGTTTTCATCTGCATCTCTTGAATGACCAGTGATGTTGAACATTTTTTCGTGTATTTATTTGCTGCTTTTACTTCTTTGTTTGAGAAATGTCTGTTCATTTCAGATGCCCTCCATGAATAGTTTTTAAAAAACAACTTTTCACAATAACTAATCTTTGATAATAATTTCAGAGCATATGTTTCATTATAAAAATATATCTTTGAAGTGTAGTCCTATGTAAGTAATTGAATTAACTGGTTGTCTTTGATTTCATCATTCAATATTCAACACATATTTATAATTATCTAGTATATGCTAAGTCCCTTCTAGGTATTGGAGATAGAGCTACTGAATAGAAATACAAGCTTCCTGCCAAGTTCAGAACACTTATATTCCAGAACAAAGAACAAATAAACGTATTAGAGATGACTGAAATTAAAAATATATGTAAGGTTACCAAGTACACAGATGCAGATAAGCAGTGACTAATATATCCTTTTCTCTCTACCTGTATTCTATATAATAGTAGAAATATTGAGTTTTAAAAGTGTTCTGACAAAATTATAACTCTAGATTTTAAGGATTAACCATCAATTTTTTTCACTAATTTTATGATTGGATCACTTATTTGAAGTTGCTAAAATGATATCATTGACATATAGAAAACTATCTTCATGGGGGCCGGGGATTTAGCTCAGTGGTTCCAGCACCTGCCTCAAAAGTGCAAGTTCCAGAGTTCGATCCCCGGTACCAAAAAAAAAAAAAAAAAAGTCTGGGGCCAGGGATTTAGCTCAATGGTTCTGCCGCCTGCCTCGCAAGTGCAAGTTTGATCCCCAGTACCCAAAAAAAAAAGAGAATAGATTATAGATGTGGTTCCATTCAAACCTGCAATCAACTTGCAAGTGTACATATGCAGACTTAATAAGTTTGTATATCACTTGCAGGAAACTTTTAACTACAGTTTTGGTTCCTGTTACTTGTTTTCAATGCCCTTTTCTGCTACTGCCGTGTATCAGGATAGGAAATATCAAAATTGTGGGAAAGCTAACAATGCTTCTAACTTAATGAAGAAAATGCTTTCCGGTAGTGTATTTCTTTTCTAAATATTGATTTTGTTAACAAAAGTTTTAGACAATATTAATATACAAGAAAGTCAATAACTATTTTCCAAGCTAAAATGGTACATGTGATACAATGCTTCGGTTTATGACTTTCCGATCTTACAATAGTAACAATATGCATTCAGGAGAAATCTTACTTAATAATTTGATCAAAATATACATTTTATCGTTTTCTAGACTAGTGATATATGGTATGATGCTGTGACAGTCTATTACAGGGAATCAATCACTGCTCTGATAATTTGGCCACTTGACAACTTTTTACAAAGATACTGAACAGCCTCTTCAAAGGACTAACAACTAGTTTAGAGGCATAACAAGAATAATTCAATTATATAATTATATCAAAAGTTGCTATAACTCATGACTAATTTATTTTATTTACCTTTCTAAAATATTCTCCCACTCTGCAGTTTTCCTACTTTTTCAAATGTCCACTCCCAAATGAAATTAAAGGGAAAAGAAGCAAATGAACAACTGATCAATGATTTCCTTTTGCAATTCGGATACCTGTATAATATGGCCAAATTTCAATTGTTTAGGAACTACTCATTTTATAGATTTGATACCCAGTACCAAAAAAAAAATCATTTTATAGATTACCCAGACTGTATCCTTCGTGTTTCTCCTGTTAATAGTTAGGATATTTTTTTCTTCAAAAAGGACTGACCAGAAGAAAGGAAAAACAGAAGTAATTGACCACATAAACACAACCAAATACAATTAACTCAAGTTTAATAGGATTGCCATTTGATCAACAAAAACGTGTATGGTATTATGGACAATTTCAATTCACAGGTTTACAACTGTTGACCCCTGGGTGGGATGAAACTTGAAGGCATTTTCCAATTAGCATGCACAGTTTTAAAAAGCAAATAGAAGAGAACACTGAAACATCCTGTCATATGGAAAGTGAGATTTTTCAGCTTCCTTACTCCCTCAAACAGAAAGACTTGGCAGTATTTGGCTAACCTGCCACACACTTGAGCTAGAGAAGCACACTGGGCGTGCCTTTCCATGGGACGAGTGCTGTTCTGTGAAAGTTCCCACCATTCACCGACACTAACACCAGGGCAAATACTAGTAGCCAGGTTCATCCAGGGTTACCTTTTTACTTTTTAAATTATTCAGAACATTTCTTTGGATACATAAATAATAAAAAAAAAGAAAAAAAAGAAAAAAGAAAAAAGAGGGCCACATGTTTATAGAAGAACTAAGTAAACAATAAAATACATTCAATATGCAAATAATGTCTCTATAAAAAGACTACAACTTAAAATGCCATTACGAAAGAAACCACACAAAGACCTTATTTGTGTTACATGCCAAGGAATACACTGGAGTCTGCGTGTTTGAGTATTTCATATAAGATGATGAACGATATTTTGTGGCATAAAAAGTATTATGAAGTCTTAATATTCTTATGTTCATTTCATCAACAATCATATAGGTATCTAAAAATTATTGTTGTCATTTGTTGCTAGGATATAAGATGTTTTAAAGGAAAAAGGAACTGCTGATTTTTAAAAGACTATTTAATTTCTAAAATGAGCTAGCTGCAATTACTTAGAACTTTATTTTTCTAAAGCCAGATTTTATTAAAGGTTTTGCTTTAAATTCTTACAAGTAAATGTAGCATCTAGAATAAAATAATTATTCTTCTAAAAAGACAATGTTTATGTTTTAAATTTGCTGTTACTAACATAAAGTAATTAATATTTTTAATAGTTTACCTATATATTAAACATGTTCACCAACAAGGAGGCAAGAAAGCTTAAGCCATACTTACAGAATTGGAATTATGTTTTGGTACTCATTAATGTGGGCAACCCTTCAAATACTAGTCCCATTTAGAAAATTAGACCATTTTGTAATTTTGAAGTACTATACCTTAATGTGAGTTAAGTATTAATTTTATATGCCACTTATGAATCCTTGGTTCATCATTCCTCAAATACTTGTTGTGTACTACAGTAAAGATGATGATTAATTTTTCCCCCAGAGAGAAAGCAAGTTTTCAGTTTTGTTTACCATTCTCATTGCTATAGTTCATCAGCATGCCACAAAAGACAGTCAAGAGCTTCTCACTGGCGGGGTCTGTTCTACTGCACAGCGACCTCAAACGGTCAATTACAATCTGTGCACCACCTGCTTGGTCAACTGCACTTCTGCCCTCATCTGTAAAACAAAGAGTTAAATTAAAAATAAAACAAAAAAGAAAAGTACCTTACAATTTCAAATGCAAAACATAACAATGTTTGTTATTCCTTGTTTTGTAAGTAGAAAATAAGCCCAAGCAGGACACTAATATGTCCTTTTAGAAAATACAAAACAAATAAACATGGAAATGGGGTGGGATGGGGAAAAGAGATAACTACTTTTTAAGAGAAAAGGATTATCATCTCTGGCATTATATAGGAGCTTAAAGAATTTATTTGTATCCTAGTTTATAAACATGAATTTTTCCACCTCTCTTTCACAAAGGATAATTTTGTTAAGAAAAAACCAAGAACTAAATGATATTCTCTGGTATAGATTTTTTGTTTTTCAGTTTGAAAACTACTAAAAATATATTTCTATCAGTGGTTTTCAACGTCGCCTATTACCACAAAATACTGAATGGGACACAGTACAATTCCAGGTCACAATGTGGAATTCTGAACATTAGTACTAGGTCTTTTAAATGGTATTTTCTGTTTTCCAGAGGATGTTCCCCCTTTTTTTCATTCTTGATTTGTGTTTCATGTTTCCTTATTCGCTCTACTCTAGCTCATACCATTCTATTTCAGCATTACAACCAGTGGTCATATAAGGTCCAACACACTTTCAATTATATGTACATGTACAATGCATAAACAGAACAAGGCTCATAACCACTGAAACATTAAACACAGCTTCAGAATACTTTCTAACTTTTGAACACAGGAATGGAAAGAGATAAGGAGAATGTGTCTTTCTAAGTCTGACTTCCTTACATTAAATATGATAGTCTCCAGAACAGTGCTGTCCAACAGAAATATGACACTCACAAGTGTGATTCACATGTTTAATACCGTATATGAGTAGACACATTAAAAAAGTAAAAGAAATGAGTTAAAAATTAATTTTAAATATTCCAACATGCAGCCAATATACAATTAATACAATATTTTATATTTTTTCCTTTGTAATAAATATACAAAATACAAGTATATTCTACCCCAGAGTTACATCTCCGAATCATTGGAAATTCAGAATCATTTGGAATTCAGAATCATTTGGAAATTCAGTCATATTCCAATTATTCTTTTGTAACCCAAAGCAAGAAGCAATAAAACTTAAGTGTCATGGTTATATCTCACAAATGAAAGAAAAAAAGATCTTAGCAGTTAGCACTCTACTATCAGAACATGTTAAACAATAATTGAGGAAAAGACCTAAAAGTCACCAGTAGGTACAGTTATCATGGTATGATATAGTGTATCCTGACTTAAGATGCAGTTAAATGTCTGGTCAAATATGCTGACTTTCTTTGTGGACCAAAAATGCCTAATACATGCTAGGCACTCAAAACTTTTTAAATAAATTGCATCTTTGGCTAGGTTTTGGAAAATCACCATGTACCTTGAGAGTGTATGTGTCGGTGCTTGTGTTCAGTGTGTGTGTGTGTGTGTGCAAAAAAGAGAAAATATAAACAAAAAACATTTACAGTAAAACCTCAGTTCACAAATGCTTCTAAAAAGTGTTCAGCAAAATTTTGTTTCTGTTTGCAAACTGCATTAGGTGACAAACAGCCATGGCCATCTTCCCCACACAAACACAAAGGCAGCCATCTTCTCCAAAATCATAAAACAAATTAAGTTCATGAACTGAGGTGATACTGTACTTGTTTTTATTTTTTAACCACTACAGTGCTTTATTTTTTAAAATTTTGCCTGTTTTCTAAACTCTATAGGAATGAAATGGAATGATGCATTTAGTATTCTGGCCTAACTTCCCTCTCTTCCCCTCCTGTCCCCACCTGCCTTTTCCTTCCTGGTGCTGGTGAATTTAACCCAGGGCCTTCATACTAAGCTATATCCACAGCCTTTTTAAAATTTTGAGCAGGGTCTTGCTAATTCACCAAACTGCCCAAGCTAGGCTCAAACTTGTGATCCTCCAGCCTCAGCCTCCCAGAGTGCTGGGATTACAGGTATGTGCCACCATGCCTGGCTCGAGTCTAGCTTCTTATTTTCAATAACACATTTATGAAATTCAGTACATCTCCTTGTCGTATGATATTCATCAGATAACAGACCACAATATTTGTCTACTGTTTTTTGCTAATTATTATTTAGAGTCTTTTAGGTTGGGGTAGTCCTTGCTATGAAGAGACAGTAATGCCAGATCACAGTCTATCTTCTCTTTTGTGAATAATGACAAGTTTCCAGAGCCAGCACACAGCTGCTATACAATAGGAAAGCTCCTGGAGCTCCCCTCCTTATATTATTCAAGTTTTAAAAGTTTAGACAACTTGATGGGTGAGGGGTAGCTCAGTCCAGAGTATACAGCAGCATATCTTAAATATAATTCTCCTGTATATTGAACAGGGTAGTTAATTTAACATCAAGAAAATATAACACGTATGTGAGAAAAACAATGTTCAAGTGGAGGAGGGAGAGAGGAAGAGAGATACAGTAAATACATAGTATTAGAATAAAAAAACTCAATTCCCAGTTCCCTTTCCCTTCTCATTTAAATAAAGGTTACTTTTGCCTCATTTGACTACCTGTAAGATGTAAGGGAGCTCCAGAATAAAGCTTGCGATGTAAAAAGCCAATAATCTGCGATGGTATTTTTTTCTAAAATTCTTCAAAATATTATTTTTATAATTTACAAATTTATGACTTTCATGCTGTCATCAAATACAAATCATGATTTATGACTATATATATTTGATATTAGTTTTCCTTCTCTTCAGTTCTTTGTTTAGTGATAGAATCTTGTCTTTTTATGTATCCACCTGCTCAAAGGACTTAATTCCTACTGGACATTTTGATCCTTTGTGACATCAAGAATGGTTATTGCAGTGATTAGGACACAGCATCACAGAAAATTATAAACACATGTGAGAATGAGCAAGAGTGATCATACTAAAAAGATTTTAGGACAGGGGATCTATCTAGCTCAGTGGGGCCCTGCCTGCCTCACAAGCACAAGGTCCTCAGTTCAATCCCTGGTACCGGAAAAAAAAAATCTGTATTTGTTAAAAATTAATATTGAGAAACAAAATTTTATGTATGGAGGTAACATTGAATAAATTTTCATTTATTTTTTAAGAAGTTTTAGCAAACAGTTTTTTAACATTCTCAAGTGTTTTATTAGGTTTGTACACTGCTGCATTCTGTTTTTTATAAAAACACCCTGGTAGGGGCTGGAGATTTAGCTCAGTGGTTTCGCCACCTGCTGCGAAAGTGCAAGGACCCAAGTTTGATCCCCTGTACCAAAAAAAATTAAAAAATTAAAACACCCTGGTAAAGCTGGCTAATGATGTCGGCTGTGCATATGCTGAGTACACACAGTACAGTAAGCACAGGGTGTGCCACATCATTGAAGATGGTATAATACAGCATATAGCTAGCTACTTTTTAAGCTTACTGACAGCCAGAATAAAAGCTAATGCACTTAGAAACTAAACACAAATAACTTTTATTGAGAATGTACTTCAGAGGGAACAACAAAGTGATTAGTGATTAAAGAAGATACACTATAAGACATACTCATTTTAACTTAGATTTGCTTAAAGAAATGATGATAATTAAGTATCAGCATTCTGATCTGGAACTTGTCAAGACTAAATTCCAATTCAATGGTCCTCAATAAACACTTTTTAAAAAAGTACACCAAGTAGAAAGAAGTTGATTGACAGAATCTATTTCATGCATATTGGTTCAGGGCTTAAAGTGCCATAGTATAACAGTATAACGGTATACCACAATGTTTATATCCATGTCAAGACTCAACTAGGGAGGTGGCATGTGCCTGAGGTAGGATGATCACTTGAGCGTAAGAGTTCCAGGCCCACCCTGTCTCAAAAAAAGCAAACATATCAAAAATCATGGAAAGTAATATATCCATTCACTAAAATCTATTTTCAGAATGATAAAAATTCCCTAAACTCCTACGAAATGTGCTTTAGATAATATTTAGAAGCACAGTAAAGAATAAATCAATCATATACGTTCTTTAATTTTGTAAAATTATAGGCCCCAGAACATGAACTAGTCCTTAACTACGCTACACAATCTTTTCAAACATCCCTGTCACATTTCTCATGATGACCTATGCAAATAATCACCATTTTGTAATGGCTGCATTCTAAACAGCAATCACACTTCCTAGTTCAGACAGAAAGCAGAAAACAACAGCATAATCCTCCTCTTTTTTACTGGTCAATTATTAGACATTATGCATGTGTACTATATGCATTCTTTTTCATTCACTTTAATTCAAGTTCAGTTACAGCTAATTAACAGTAAAGAAATAAAGTGAGGTGATTTACTTTAAACAGAAGACTTTTCAACTAAAAAAACTGTAGACATTTCTGCAGAAATGAAGGGTAAGAATACTTGATGAAATTCGAGAACAAGGCCTGACTGTCAGAGACAATCTCAATTTCTTTGCTACATAAGATTGAAATGTTTACTAACGAATTTCTGTAGGATAGACGTTTTTAATGTTAGAAAAATTGTAATATCATTTTGAGGTAACATCTTATAAAACAACAATAATAAAGTGTCTAAATTCTAGGTTTTGAGAGTTTAAACTAGTAGAAAAATCTTTAAATGCCTGTCAGTTTCCTAATTTGGAAAAGGGGGCAGAACGTTATTTCTTTCTCAACTGTGTATAACCACGTTGTACATAAAGTACTGCACTTAATATTTACTACATGTGATTTTTTAAAATAGGAAACAAACCCTGAAATCTTACTATTTCAGCTTTGTAATCACTGTACTTCAGATAATTATTTTCTCCAATTATTTTAAGAAACTATAAAGACTTGTGGCAAATTAATCAGAAATTTATTCTTCAAACTAGAAAGTTTGAGTTTTTAATTTTTTCCTACCATGAAAAATACTCTCTAGAAATAATTTTGATGTCTTCTTTCTTAGCGAACAGAATAGATGTTTAAAGTCAAGATAATTGTAACTTAGGTCCCA